CTAGGGTGGAGCTCCCATGGCCTCGCTAGGGGAGCTGACTGAGGCTCAGAGAAGTGGGGTGAGTACCCAAGGGTCACCCAGGGCAGACCAGGGAGTCACAGTAGCTGTGCAGCGAGGACACCCACTTCGCGCACATCCTGCAAGTCCTGGGGTAGCTCCGGTCTGATAGGAGGAGGTGGGCGCTAGGGATGGAGTTTGTGGTCTCTTTTTTCCCTCCCTCCATCCCTTGGTTCCGGCTGCCCAGGGAGGATGCGACCAGAGGTGTTGATGGGGTCGGGGGCGCTGCACCTCCCGAGTGGTGCCTGGGGAGCAGCAGAATTTGGGCCGATGGCCTGGTCGCCCAATGCAAACTGCAGCTCAGCCCCACCTGCTTGCAATCTTTCATAGACTCAATCGCCTGTTTCTCTTTTCATCTGTCCAAGTTGACTGCTCCCTGGTGGTCAGTGCGTGTCATGGCGATCAGTCGAATGGTCAAACGGTTGCTTAGGCTTTTATATATATAGATTACATTTAAATCCCACTGCTCTTTCATGCTTTTGAGTGGATCTTTTACCCATGCATGATATTAGATCATGTATCAATAGTTTGAAAATATTGGTTGACTGAGATGTGCAGATCTGCTCAATGTTGATACATTTTATTACACAATATAAAAAAATCACATTCATTAATATTACCAATCTCATCAGCATCATTATTGGGAAGCCATCAAATTAGTGATAAATACATATTTCCAAATTGCTAATTTTCACTTAAAAGCTTGAATTTTATCATTGGCAACATATATTGTCAGTTGTTTTTCTGAACTAACAAGTTCACATAGTCAGAGGGCTGCTGCAAAGAGTGTCTTGGAAGGACATACAAGAAACTAAAGACTTGGTAGGTTGGGGAGGGCGGAGAGTGAGAAGGAGGTTTTTACTTTTACAGAGTCCATAATCTCCTAACAATAATTCTGAAATCAAAAGAAATCTGAAAACCATGGTATGTTGTTTTGTTTGTTTTTCCCCAAAATCAGGTTGGTCCTGAACCTTATTTGATAGGAAAACCTGACCTAAAGTGTCATGAAGCTCCTTATATTTTCATTTATCCCAATTGTGACTATTCATTTATTTTGCAGAAATATTAGGGTATTGGGTACAGGGTGCTGCCTGGGAGCATTGCACAATATACAGTACTTACCTGGCCTTTCTAAAATACGAAAAGTTCTGAATTCCAAAACACAGCTAGCCTAAGATTATGGATGTGTGTATCCTTTTTTACTCTTGAATTTTGAAACTGGTGAATGCATTACCTATTCAGAAAATTAAAAAAAAAAAATTTATATATTTTTATTGATTATTTTTACAGAGAGGAAGGGAGAGGGATAATTTGAAACATCGATGAGAGAGAAACATCGATCAGCTGCCTCCTGCACACCCCCTACTGGGGATGTGCCCGCAACCAATGTACATGCCCTTGAGCGGAATCGAAGCTGCAACCCTTCAGTCCGCAGGCTGATGCTCTATCCACTGAGCCAAACCAGCCAGGGCGAAAATTAAAATTTTTAATCTTCTAAAAACTAAATTTAGCACAAAGCAAGCTCACGGTAAATGGTGGCTGCTGTTAATCGTCCCTCCAGGCCTTTCAAACTGCCAGCAAATCTGTTCATGGCCACACTGTTTCACCATAATAGCAGCCCCTGTGAGTGTCACTACTTAGACTTACATCATAGAAGACGGGGATGCAGAGGTTTGGTGATAGACCCCTGCCAACCAGCTAGATAGTTCCCCACCCAGAGTTCAGAGCCCAGAGCCCAGAGCCCATCGCCCATCTCTTAATCCCAGCCCTGAGGCCGCTCCAGTTCCCCAGAGCACCTCAGCCATTGGCATGGCACCCACCGGCGTTGTGTATCCAGGAGAGGAGTGTTGTGTGTCTGAGAGGAGGGGGAGCATATAAGAAGGAAACTGTGGCTAGACCAGGGGTGGGCAAACTTTTTGACTCGAGGGCCACAATGGGTTCTTAAACTGGACCGGAGGGCTGGAACAAAAGCATGGATGCAGTGTTTGTGTGAACTAATATAAATTCAAAGTAAACATCATTACATAAAAGGGTACGGTCTTTTTTTTCAATAGTTTTATTCATTTCAAACGGGCCGGATCCGGCCCGCGGGCCGTAGTTTGCCCACGGCTGGGCTAGACTCACCTCAAATCCTTTAAAGGGGCCCCTTTTGGAGCTGGGACATACTGTCCTGTGGGCCAGCCAAGAAGTGCCTACGGGTTAATTATACAACACTCTTTCCTTCCGTTGATTACCAGATGAAGTAGCGGGGGCTGGATTTCAGGGACCATGTGCAAAAGTTACTTTCTTATGTTAAGCCCTAGAGCAGGGGTGGGCAACCTTTTTGTGAGTGCGTGCCAAAACCAGCAAAATCTCTGACTCAAAATTCTTCTGCATGCCAACCCTAATTTTTTGAGAACATGTTACGCCTACTTGATATCTCTTAAGGTGTACGTTTGTGAAGAACCTTGAAGAAATAATAAAATTCATTCGAGTGACAAAAACACAGTATATGATGATGAAAAATACATTTATTTTTTAATGTATACATGTACACTGATAGTCCGACAGAAAACTTTATGACTCCGTTTGATATTATCAGTGGGACTTTTGCTGCTGCATCACTGATGACAGAGATTTTACATCAGGTTTATATTTCGTGACCTTCAGAGACATGCACAAGCTACTACTTTCATCCGTCAGGCTACTCCTATTACGAGACTTAACAAAATTCATCACTGAGAACAAAGATTCACAAGCGTATGTGGATGAAAACATGGAGAGTAACGCTGTTGCAAAGTTTTTTAAACAGAAAAAATTTTCTGGAATGGCATCCCAACTCCTCAGTAGTTCGTTTTCGACACTATTGGAATTGCTCTCCCCCTCTCTCGTCAATCCATGTCTATGGTCTTTAAGATAACTTGTTATGTAAAATTATTTATTTATCTAAGATGCACCTACACTGAATTTATCTGAAAAAAAAGTCGATATTAAGAAAAAAATTGTAAATGGAAGATTATAAGAGAGGGTTTCACGTGCCAGCAAAAGTTACTGGCGTGCCATGTTTGGCACACGTGCCAGGGGTTGCCCACCCCTGCCCTAGAGCCTCAGTCAGCACCTCCAGGACAGAGACTACTTTAAAATGGATTCTGCGCATGTGCCATAATGAGCTCACTGAAGGGTGCATGTGTTGAGTGTGAGCCTAAAGCAGAGGTTCTCAACCTTTGTGTTGCGACCCCTTTGGCAGTGGAACAACCCTTTCACAGGGGTCGCCTAAGACCACCCTGCATATCAGATATTTACATTACGATTCATAACAGTAGCAACATTACAGTTACGAAAGTAGCAACGAAAATAATTTTATGGTTGGGTCACAACATGAGGAACTGTATTTAAAGGGCCAGAAGGTTGAGAACCACTGGCCTAAAGGATATGTTGTAACAGTTTCAAGTACACAAATTATTGGGGTTGGCCTTGCGGCTGCCATTCTAGACCCCATTGTTCTCCATTTTCTCTCCCCTTCCTCCTCTGTGGCCCAGGAGAGAGAAATGGAGATGGCTGCATGTTTCAGGAGCCATCAGACTGTTCTCCCAGGCATTTTTATAGCCACTAGAAGCCCCTCTGCCTGCTGCTCTGAAGGGAGCAGTTTGTGGGGATAGGTAAAATGCTTGCTGCCCTCTGGCACCCGCTGGTCTGAACAGTGAGGCAGGATGGTGGGAGGCCACCAGAGACTTTGACTGCCAGCTCCATGACCAAAGCTTGGGAACAATAACTTCCCTTGGAAACATAGTCCATCTAAATCAGTGGTTCTCAACCTTGGCTGCACATTAGAATCACCTGGGAATCTTTTTAAAATCCTGATTTCTGGGCCTCATCCTCCGGAAATTCTGTTTCTTTGTTATCGGGTGGGGCCACAACATTAGTAACAAAGAACAGAATTCCAAAGACCACTTGTTCAAATACTAAATCTTTTTTATTTTATTACATTCATATCCATATTCTTTATAGAAGAAATAGAAGAAACTCACCACTGTTTATATTTTCAGTACGCTTCTTTCCAGTTTTATTTATCCACACCCACCCATGCTTTTCACAGTTGATTTCTTAGGCTATTGATAATCCCTTTTTCTCCCACAGTTAACATTTGAACATAAACATTTTTACACATCATTTTAAAACATTCTAAGAGCATTGTTTCCTTGGCCACATTTAGGGATATGCCCTAATGTTCCTAACTGGTCCCCAATTAGGCTGACCCATTTCCCTTGATTAGTTTGTATGGAGATACTTTAATTTGAATTAAGTGTTCTTTAAGATTGCTACCTAGACATAAAATTGTTGGATCAAAGAATATAGTAAAGATACAAAAAGCTTTTGAGAGCAAGATCTATTTTGTGGGCATATATATTATATAATACAGAATCTCCATTTATTCTCCTAGCTCATGCATTGTCAATGAGGGTAATGGGAGAGGGGTGAAAAAAAATCTTAGCAGTTACAATGGTTTGTGGCCCTCCAGTGGGCTATAGTGCATAAACAGGAAAAAAAAGGTTGAGAAGCACTGTATTCGCTGTATGTGAGTACACATCTCACTCTACCCTTGGAAGCTTTTAAATCTGAGCTTTTGGTTTTGCGTTTTAGAATAACCTTCTGGTCTAAGTTCTTTATCCAAAGTTTAAGAGTTTGAGAAGGGTGTGAATAAAATAAAATTTATGTGGTGGTTACCACTGCTAATATTTTTCTTTCTATAGATTGGGATTCTCCATCTTTTGTGGCTTTGTATTCAGCCATTGTAACATTAGCAGTGTTAGTCTTTGCCAAGGGCCACTTTGAAATATCCCTTGTGTTATGGTTCATGCAGGGGTTTCCCTTGTCCCCAAGCCTGGGAGTCAGGTTCAGGCTCCTAGGAGCCCAGGTGCCTGGCTGCTCTGGGACTTACAGTAATTGTCCCTTGTTTGTTTCAGGTGTGATCCCCTGGGCCCATTTGCTGTCGGGGGAGAGGACCTAGACCCCTTTGGGTGAGTACTGCTGGGGAAGTGGCAGCAATACAGCTTGCTCTCCTGGCTTTTCAGCTCAGCTCATCTTCTAATTCTAGAGCAGCGGTTCTCAACCTGTGGGTCGCGACCCCTTTGGGGGTTGAACGACCCTTTCACAGGGGTCGCCTAAGTCCATTGGAAAACACATATATAATTACATATTGTTTTTGTGATTAATCACTATGCTTTAATTATGTTTAATTTATAACAGTGAAATTGGGGGTCACCACGACATGAGGAACTGTATTAAAGGGTCGCAGCATTAGGAAGGTTGAGAACCACTGTTCTAGAGCTTTTCATCAGTCTTCCTTTGGGGTGAAGGAGCCAGTCTGTTGCTGAGGCGCTGAGAAGTCATTGCCATTGTTCTGCTCTGCCTTGCCTGGAGCCGTGCAGGAGAGCTCTGAGTGTGGGGGAGGGGCTAAGCCAGCACTGCGGGCAGCTCCTCTGTCCTTTCTGGCCCTTATTGTGCTGTGGAGGACAGCAGCCCCTCCTAGGAGGGCAGGATACCAGGTGGGTTTATCGGGTGTGGGCTACAGGCCTTAGGACATCTCAGGGCTACTCAGAGGTCACCTTGCTTGATAAGGGGAGTCTTTAATCCCCAATAAGCTCTGGATGGTTCTTGTCACACACCCACTGAAGTCATTACAGCCTCAGCTATGCACTCTCTTCTCTGAATGAGTCACACTAGATTTTAACCTGTGCTGCAAAGTGTCCCAGCCTGACCTTCTGATTTTTAGACAGTGATGAAGTCACAGAAGTGCACAGTTAAGCTTGAACAGTGACCTCAAAGTTTAGGGAACGTCAGCACATGTGTCCTAGTTTGAGCACATGAGGTTGGGTCCATGGAACTCCATGAGAGAGATGCTGTCAGAAGCCAGATGGAAGACCCACAGGCAGTCCATAGATGGCCCTGAGGTTCTTTAAATGAACAGCAGAGAAGCTAGCAGCATGGATTGTCTCAATGTTATTCTTAGTCCTTAGACCTAAGTAGTGCTCTGCAGGGCCTCGTGATGGTTCTGCATTGACGTTGGCGAGTTCTGGCACCTGTTCTTGATCAAATTGCTCCCGTTGGGTACAGGTCATGGCAGGAGTCTCAGTTTTGTACGCTCAGGGACCCTGGAGAGCCAAAGGTCCAGACTGTGCTATTTATGTTCTTTGCCCACTTCCTGCTGGTGCTCAGGCAGCCATCCCCGTGTGTCTGCTTGAGCCACCATGCAGAAACCCAGGCATTCTTAGTCTGTTCTCACCTCTTCTCCAATAGCTCCCTGCCATACCTGCAGACCCATTTTTCCTTCTTGCCTCAGGTATCGGAGAGGTGGCATGATTGTGGATCCTCTGAGATCTGGCTACCCAAGAGTACCTATTGACCCATCCTCCGGCCTCCCAAACCGGCTTCCTCCAGGCGCTGTGCCCCCAGGAGCGCGCTTTGACCCCTTTGGACCCATTGGGACCAGCCCAGCTGGGTAGGTATTCACTCAGGTATGCTGAGAAGTAGGACGTGATGACAGCTCATCTCAGTGCTGCAGGAACAAAGGCATCACACCAGGCCCAGATGCCAGCAGCTCCATCCCCCACTGGCAAGAGAGTGGAGCCTCCTCCAGGCCCTGCCAGATGCCTTCCCCCCTTCTCCCCGAAGCTTCCAGGAGCACCCCGTTCCTCAGTGCCTCTCTCCCCTCAGTTCCCCTCAGAGAGGACCCAGGGGAGGAGGAGCGACTCCCTTGCTGTGTTGAGCTGTGTCAGGAACCCACTGGATCCTCATCAACACTCATGGATAGATATTACTGTCCGCATTTAGTAGATAGAGAAAATCGAGGCCTTGAAGGATGAAGTAACTTAGCCAAGGGAGAAGAATCAGGATTCAGTCCCAGGCTGTCTGGCACTGGAGTACACGTGTGCTCTTAAACTGCACGAACCACCCCATCGTTCTGGAGTACAGGCTCCCTCAGCTCAGGGCCCTGTCCGCCTGTGTGCCCCTGGCCCTCCATCACTCCAACTCACCAGCCCCTCTTTCCATTCCAGACCTAACCCAGACCATCTCCCCCCGCCGGGCTACGATGACATGTACCTGTGAGCGCCTCAAGAATGTAACATCCCAGCCTTCCCTCCACTCTCCTGGAGCTACCACCTCTGGCCCCATCAGCAACCGTGTTCTTACGGGCTGGGGGCAAGGGACTCTGCCCATGTGTTGGCAGGCTGGCTGGGATTGCCTCCCTACTCCTTGTCAGAGCCACAGCACCTGCTGCAGCTCTCCACTTGGCTGCATATAGGTCCCAAAGAGAAGTCAGTCTCTCTCACCACCAGCTCCTCCCCACTTCCCAAGGGAGACTCCGGCAACATATACCCTCCACCCAGTGCAGCACTTTAAGAACAAAATGCATTTTGGATGTTATTATTAAGAACCAAATGTCAATACAGAAGTCATGTTGCCGTCTTCCATTTTTCTTTACTGCACAGTTCCTTCCAGTTATGAGCTTGAATCTTTGTGGGGCTAAATGACTTTTCCTTCCCAGGGCCCATTCTTACTTCTCAGGCACCTTCCCTTCATAAATTGCTGTTGGGTCCTGACATCACCAGGATGGGTCCCAGTATGGCTGCATGGATGAAAATGAGTGACTGGAAACCTCATAGGTCACAAGGATGGTTTCACACGGGCAGGGACATTGCAGAGAGACTGCGTGCTTCTGTGGAGGGCAGAACCCTCCAATTCTGCCTTACCTGACCCAGTCCTGAGTCTGTGCCTGGGCAGTGGCAGCCTACAAACAACAGACCTGAGCGCTAATCTCTTTTTACCACTAACTTACTGAGTGACCCTAAGTCCCTTCCCCTCCCATGGCTTTGTGCCACCTATGAAATCTGAGGTGCCCTTCCCATTCTGATGTCTGCTATGTATGCCGACCCCTGGGAACTGGGGCAGAAGGAAAAGAATGAAGGTTCAAGGCTTTATGTGGTACTTACAGAGGCTGACTCTGTGCCTCTCACCCTCCGTGGGGCCCAGCCGAGCACAGGCTCCATGTAAGCACAGTGTGGAACTCCGGGAAGAGCAGGAGGCCAGCCTCAAAGCCACTGGCTGGGGTGAATGGAAGAACTAGTCAAGCACAAGAAACAGCCCAGGAAGGCAGTCACCCCGAGGGAGCCCCACCCCTGGAAGCCTGTGCCCTCTGTCCAGGCCCGCCTGACCTTGGTGTTCTCCGGATCCTTTTCAGCCCGAGGCCTGACAGATGTGGTCAGTGATGAACCTTATGCTGGAGTGGAGAGAGCACCATAGAGCACCAGGCTCAGACGCAAGACATCAAAGCACTAGTCACTTTGGCTCCACAACTAGCATTTCAGCCATGTTTGGGTCCTTTCACTTCTCAGCTCCTTGGGTTCCTTCCCCTAAATTAGGACATATTATTTCTCTGTGGGCAGGGGCTACCAGAGCCTTTCTGAGGTATCTGCTAATGTGCTATAGCCTGGGACTCCCTGTTTGCCCTGCCGGAGAGTGGGTTAGGGGTAAAATAAATTGGCCCATAGGCCCACGGTCAACCTAAGATGTGGAGGCTGGGCCAGGGTGGAGAGGCTAGCATGAGTGGGCTCTCTGGGCATTTCTGGCAGACCCCATCTCTAGCACTGACCTAGTAAAAGACCAGCTTGGTCCTTTAGAACACGTGTGCTCTGGAGAAGGGCCCAGGGTCAGGCAGAGCTGCAAATGTAGTCATCAATCCTAGTTTGCTTCCCCAGGGGCCAGCAAAGATGGAATGTTTTTGTTTTGCAGTTGGCTCATACCTGCTACCAGAACGACATAGGCAATTTACTCATAAAAGCATCCTTTACTCTAAAAGGAGGCTTAAAGGAACATCTGAGCAGAGACCATCTGACAAGCAGGGAAGGGGGGTAGATCACTTTTTGGACCCTGACTCAAAGAAAAGACAAGATCAAAACAGTAAATTTGCCACTTAGTTTTACTAGTAGCAAAGGTCGAAAGGATAGTCCAATACATACTCTGTTTTCTGAAAACAGAAACTTAGTGATTCATCTGAAGAATCGGCCATTTTTGTGTGTGGGTCTCCTTGCATCAAGGACATTGAGTAACACAGATGATGTCTTAGTTCCATAGGGGCTTTTAGGAACTTCCAGGTCAAGCTGTCTGTGCTTGTAGTCGGGCCACATCCTTGCTTCCAGCCATAAGTAATTGCCAAGCAGCAAATGGGAATGGTTCGGGTTTGTTTTTTGGAACCTTAAGGTTGGAGCCTTAATAAATATCAGCACTTAATAACCTAGTTCTCTTTTTTAAATAACTTTGTATATAATTCACATACTTAACGAAGTTCACCCTTCTGAAAGTGTGCATTTAAGTGGTTTTTAGTGTATCCGCATTATGTACACCCATCACTATACCTAATTCCTGAACATTTTCGCCACTCCAAAAAAAACTACCCCATACCCACTAACAGCCACTCTCCATTCACTCCTTTCCAGCCCCAGGCAACCACTGGTCTATTTTCTGTCTCTAAAGATTTGACTATTCTGAATAGTTCTCATAAGTGGAATCATATAATATGTGGCCTTTTGCACCTGGCTTCTTTCAGTTAATGTTTTTAAGGTTCATCCATGTTGTAGCATGTATCAGTGCATCATTCTTTTTTATGGCTGAATAATATTCTGTTGTATTAATATACCACATTTTCTTTATCCATTATCAGTTGATGGACATTTGGATTGTTTTTACTTTTTGGCAGTTATGAATACTGTTGCTGTGAACATTTGTGTACAAGTTTTTGTGTGGAGATATGTTCTTAATTCTCTTGGATATAAACCTATGAATGGAATTGCTGTATCATATAACTTGATACTTAACTTTTTGAGGAACTGCTAGACTGTTTTCCAACGTGGCTATGCCATTTTACATTCCCAACAGCAGGATATGAGGATTCCAGTTTCCCTACATCCTTGCCAATACTTGTTAGTCTTCTTGTGTATAGCCCTCGTAGTTGGTGTGAAGTGGTATCTCATTGTGGTTTTGTCCTCTATTTAAAAAAAAAAAATTTGCCCTGGTCAGTTTTCTCAGTGGTTAGAGTGGGTCGGCCTGCGGACCAAAGGTCATGGGTTCAATTCCCAGTCAAGGGCACGTGTACCTCAGTTGCAGACTCAATCCCTGCCCCCAGTCGGGGTACAAATGGGAAGCAACCAATTGATGTCTCTCTCTGACATTGTTGTTTCTCTCTCCCCACCCCCCTTCTCCCTCCCCTCTACACCTTCTTAAAAAAAAAAAAATCAATGGAAAAAAGATCCTTTGGTGAGGATGAAAATTTTTTAAAAAAGAATTTTGACCTAGGCTAAATAAGGCAGAGACCAGAGCCAGTCCCCCTTGGGGAGCAGACCATGGCTTTGGTAATGACCACTTTGGGATGGCCATGGCTGGTGAGCCACAGAAGAATTGGTTTGAATTTTGGGGAAGGTTCTGGGCTGGATGTGAATTGGACAGGTGCTGTCCGCAGGTAAGTTCCCTGACCTTTCCAGGTCTAGTGACATTCATGGCCTCACTTTCACTTGGTTTGAACTTTGTTTATCTGGTGGCTTACAAGTGAAATAAAGGTCTTATTCCAAATCCTGTCTTTTGGTGAAGTGCCATAGACCACTGTACTACCATCCCTGGCAGCCCCCACATCCCCACCTTCTCATCTTATCTCCTCCCAGTTTTGAGCTGGCTGTGTTCTCATTGCATCATCTACTCAGTCATGAGCTTGTGTCAACCTCCATTATGAAGTCATGAGTCTCTGGAGACCCTGACTCCAATGTATTATGTTAAAAATGGAGACTTTATATTCCTGCTGGATACATAGTTAAAAAACGGTAGCAAGTTCCACACAACCTCATTCTTTGGAACTCAGCTTCTCTCACGGCTTCCTTTTCTACTGTCGTGGTGACATTCTGTTACTGATCCATGCCTCTCTTCAGAGAAGGAGAATTAGAATGTGTGGGACAGTTAATGTCACCTTCTAATCTTGTCTACTTTGGTGCTGTGCCAATAAAGACAGGCCCCACCACGAAGAAGAGGAAGGACACCCCCCCCCCCCACACACACACACACATTCATATCCTCAGCTTTCTCTCATAAAACATGCTTGTGGGCCACTACCAACCATAGGAGAGATTCAGTGACAGGCAGCCAAGTCCTCAGCTTCTGTTTGTCCGTGGGATACTGCAAGACACACCCAAGTCACTCCAGCTGTGCTTGACCCTGGATCTGACCTGGAGGGTGGGTCAGAGGCAGGGATGGTGGGCAATGATCGGTGGCAAGTCCCGGGTGACTGAGGACAGACTCTAAAATGCAAAGAGGAGCAATGATAATGAGGTTCCAATATTCCACTAGTGGCAGGGCTGGATAGGAGGTGCCAAGTGGAAGGCCCGTCCCTGCTGAGGCTGACTGTGCAGTCTAATAGAGGAGCCTGGCTGGCCACATGAAAGGCCATGTTCCGTATGAGCTGCATAAGGTAAGTGTGAGAGATGTGATGGGGGCTCAGAGGGAAGGGGCAGGGGAGCTCCTGCTGAACTGTTAATCCTGTGGTTCAGCTGCAATAAACAGAAATGACTTGGGCTTTTGTCTTAAAAATCAAAAAGGTTTGGGTATAGAGATTTAGCGAGGTTACATCATCATTGTCATGATCTGGGGATCAGGAAACTCCAGAGCCATGCAGCAGCTGCATAGATCTGCAGCAGAAAGCGAACGCCCTTTATACTGCCATCTTGACTCCCACTCAGCTCAGTTCAAATTCAAGGCTTAACCGAATGCATCTGATAGAACCTATATCATCTCTCTAACCATAGCTGCAAGAGAGCCCAGGAAAATGTCTTTGTTCCCTTTTCCCACCTTTCATTCAGGAAGGTGCACTGGGACAGAGGTCTAGTGTCCTGATCTGTGTCTGTCTGCACTGCCGGTCATGCTTCCCCAGCTCACCCGAACCAGAGAGTCTCCTGCGATGCTTGCTGTACACCCTGTACACCCTGGGCCCAAGCCAGACCGGGATGCAGATCTCAGGGAAGGGCCTTTGAATCCATGTTTATGAGTAACTCAGGTGATTCACATTATCAGGCAAGTTTGAGAACTGAGAAGGGAGGAACAGACTTTCTACATTCTTGGTACTCAGATCAGCAGCAGCACCTGGAAACTTGTTAGAAATGTAGACTCTCAGGCTGCACCCAAGACTTATTAAATGTGAGGCTGCATTTTAACAAATTCCCCAGGTGACTCATGTGCATGTTAAAGTTTAAGATGTTCTAGTGTACAAACTACAATGTTTTCCTTCACCTGGATATCAGGTGCAGTCTTGGTTCATGGCACAATATGATTAGTGCATGCAGGAGCCCCTCGTTTTAAGTTTTCCTACTTTTACCCCCTGTATCCACTCCATTCGCTTGACCTGTGAATCAAATGTGTTTCATATGTTTTTAAATATGCATATATTCTTATAGAATACATTATATCTTCAAATAACCATAATGAGATACTATCCTCATTTTCTAGGCCAGAAAAAGAGACTTTGGAAAGGTCCAATAATTTGCTCAAAACCTAGCAGGGGTCTCAGAACCAGGCAGGCATGAGTGCAACTCTCAGCCCTACCTTTGCTGGTGTGTGGCCTTATCTGCAAAGTGAGTATCGCCTCTACCTTTGGGATTGTTGTAGGGTCTGGCCAGATACTGTGTCTTATAAACAGATAGTTGGAGCTCAGGGGCTACCAGCTATTATTACTGAGGCCACGTGAGTAGGTAAGCCTGGGGGCTCATGGACAAGAGGAAGAAAACTGGCTGCCCTCCAGTGCTGGAAACAAGCATTATCTGGTACTTGGCATACTAGGCTTTTCCTAGTCATGTGTGGTATCTTAGCCACCCCTGCCATAACACTGTTGGCAATTGGTTGAGGTGCTGGACTTGCCCTCTAGGGGTGGTAGCATGATGGGAACCTGGGTCAGCCTGGTTCTAAAGCCAGTGCTCTCTCTGTAGAACCGCTGCACCCTATGCAAGTGAAGAGCATGGATCCCTGGGCAAAACCTATTTCTGAAGCTGGAAAATGAAATCAGGGTTTGTGTGAGACAGGAACATGACTCCAGAATGGTCTCAGACTCCTAACTCGGTCCTCTCCTGTTTGTAAGGTGTATCTCATATTCGGAGCACTTCCACATACAGCCACGGTGCCCAGGGCACCCAGGTTAGGGGCATCTGCAACCACCCAGCACAGGAGCATTAAACAGAAGAAACAGGCCCACGAAATCCCTCCGTTATGGTGAGCTCCTGAGCGCCTTCACGAGACCCCAGAGAAGGGCTTGGGCTCTGTGCCGGGCTCTGTCACCAAATAACACTCACCTCCGCCTCCTGAGTTTAGTAGGATAGGAGCTACTCTCCCCATTGAACAGATGAAAAAGCGGGCCCAGAGCAGTTAAGTGGCCTTTCTAAGGTCATGCAGACCACAGAATTTCTAGCTACAAGGTTTTCCCACTAAAAACTGGCCCAGACAGGTTGGCCCCCAAGTGACTAAAATGTAAGTCCTCTTCCCTTCCACCTCCCTCTTTCCCCTCAGTCTGAGCATTATGAGGAAGGAGCCATACAAGTTCAGCACCTTGGTCAGCGCCCTCCTTCCTCGCAGCTGCCAGAGGCAGCCTTTAGGCCAGATTAGGTCAGAGTCTAATACCTAATCCAGGATGGCCCACCCCTGGGACAGACAGGCATCCCTAAAAGAAGAGGACTGGGCCCTAACGGGTTTGGCTCAGTGGATAGAGCCTGCGAACTGAAAGGTCCCAGGTACGATTCCAGTCAAGGGCATGTGCCTTGGTTGTGGGCATATCCCCAGCAGGGGGGTGTGCAGGAGGCAGCTGATTGATGTTTCTCTCTCATCGAAGTTTCTAACTATCCCTCTCCCTTCCTATCTGTAAAAAATCAATAAAATACATTTTTTTAAAAAAGAAGGGGACCTGGCTATAGGTGTTCTGCCTCCAGGAAAGAGCCCTGTCCGTCCCCTCTAGATTGGAACCACAGGAGCACAGTTTCATCCTGTAGACTGCTTGGTGCCCAGGGCATAAATTCAAGCGAGAAGCCTATAAAAAGAGAGGGATATGCAAGGGCCCTGAGCCATGGTGACCTTAGGCAAGTCCTTTAGCTTCTCCCATCTGTAAAATGGGGATAAAGTGGGCCTGACTGTTGCCAAGATCCTGTCCACCTATGAGATTCCATGGTTTTAAGTGGGCTGGCTACCTGACCAAGTTCAGTACTCCCCCACCT